ATACATATATACACGTATATATATATATATAAATATGCATGCACACACATTCTATCCTGTATCTATGTCTATTCGCATGTACGCATGTACGTGTATACACGTGCATACACGTACCAACATACACATGCATGTATGCTACCTGGCTTGACCTGGATTGGCCGCCCTCCGATCGTCACCTGCCTCGCCTGCCTCGCATCCGTCGTGATCTTTGCCTGGCTTGCGCTGCCTTGCCTCGCTTTGGTTTAGGGTTTAGAAAGTTTAGGCTTCCTAGGATTAAGGGTTCCCGGGTTTGCTGCTGGCCTGCCTGCCCGTGTCTGCCTGCCTGCCTCCCCCCGGGCTGCCTGATTGCCTGCAGGCTAGCTAGCTGGCCAGGTAAAGCCAGGAGTATATATGTATGCATGTGCGTATGTGCGTATGTTACGTATGCACGTATGCATGCATATTTGTGTTGTGTGAATATGCACGCAGCTGAAGATCAAGCTTTCAAGCCAGATTTCGCTTCGTCACAGCAGCAAGAGCCGAAACTGGCCTCGCTATCCATGAGAGACTCACTATCTAGGGTTTCTTTAGGGTTTGCGGGTTTTAGGGTTGAGGGGTTAGGCCGTTTAGGCTTTGTTTGTTTCTTTTGCCATGCCGTTTTGGAACTGCTAGGATCTTTTCCTGGTGGGGCATCTGTGAAGCCTTGCAAGATCTATCTACTGTTTAGAGTTTAGAGGCTGCTCCCGCCCGCTGAGGCCAAGTCCCACAAGGACCAGGCATCGTGCTTTAATGTACGAAAGAGGTTCGAATAATTGTCAATCCCTCGTTTCCCCCTACAGTCCCCAAAGCAGCATATTGTAATGGAGAATCTCCATGTACTGTTCGTTCCGGAAGGCGAGGTATCTGGGCGATTCCGTACTTCTGTTTTCCGTTCTTTTTAAAACTTCACACTGGGGCTCTATCTGAAGGTTTAGGGTTTAGGGGTTTAGGGTTTAGGGTTTAGGGTTTAGGGTTTAGGGTCCTATGTAGCTCAATAACTTAAGAGGCGGGCTTCAGGCTTTCGTTTGTCCGGCGGTTGCAGGCGCTGGGCTCAAGTCTTACGATGTCACTTCTCTTCAGCTTTCAGGGTTTAGGGTTTAGGGTTTTCTTTTCTTCAGCTTGCAGGTCGCTTGAAACTGAAAGTCCTAGATCCTAAACCCAAAGCCTCGGAGCCCCGAAGCCCCTAAACCCCGGTTTAGGGTTTAGGGTTTAGGGTTTAGGAGGGGTGCAGAGCATGATCTGAAGTCACTGCTGTGGGTCCGGTCGAGATCTGACAAGGCCGTTGCAAAAAGGGCCCTCCTAAACCCTAAACTCCCCAACAAAAATCCTTACACACTCCCATAGAGCCCGAGGTGAACCGTAGAATGCGAGGCTCGATCGAGCCCTGAGACGTAAATCCCGAAGCCCTTGTATATTTCGGTTTAGGGTTGAGGGTTTAGGTTTTAAGGTTCAGGGTTTAGGGTTTAGGGTTCAGGGTGTACGTAGAGCTTATAGGGTTTAGGGTTCAGGGTTCAGGGTTTAAGGTTTAGGGTTCAGGGTTGAGGGTTCAGGGTTTCGGGTTCAGGGTTCAGAGCTTAGGGTTTGCACCCCCGCAAGTGCATAGACCTTCTCTCCGCAGGCTTTGGTGATGCGCCAGCACCGGCAGGCCAACAAGGTCATGCTCAAGCGTGTCCTGGCATTCTTGAAGCCTTCAGGCTTAGGCAGGGTTTAGGGTTTAGGGTTTGGGGTTTAGGGTTTAGGGTCTCAATAAGAACTGATACGGTTGATGACATACATCCTGCGTTACCCATAACAAGGAATATACCATGCTTCCCATATCTTAGGGTCCTTAAGGTAATGCAGGATTTATATCATCACCAGTCGCATCCCCTTCTAGTCCCTACATATTCAGACGGCTATCGTCCCGGAAACCCTCTTCACTTTTTTGGCCTGGCATCTGGCGGTTGTTCCGATTTCAGGTTCTCTCTCAACTGCCGGTAGAACAACCCCTTGCCAAACAACTGCATGCCCCAAGCGCTTCTGCAGGGTGTCTGTTGTTTCTTCCAGGGTAAATTGATGACATCTGTCTGGACTCAAGTCCCCAAGTTGCGGTTGGCATATTTTTTTAGTGGGTGTGTGCGTGTGTGTATATATATATACTCATATATA